TAGTCGTTAACTGTTCCCTCAATGTTGTCCACGGTACTGCTGAGACTTGCGTTCGCAAGATGAAAAAATCTCCCTCCCAGACATTTGTTTGTAATTGTTCAGGTGATACAGGTTAGGAGAAAATGGAAAACTCGTAGAGCATCACAACATGGTCACTAGCACCCATTGGCGGGAGATCTTGTATATCCAGTACACTCTCCTCATCTCAAGTGAGCGCCAGGTCGAGGCAGTTTGAACGCTGCCCTTCCCTAACACATGTTTCGAGAGTTACATTCTGGAAAAGTAGTCTTTCTGCTACCAATTCAAGCAAATGTTGGCCGAATGTGTTTGATGGACCCGAAACCGTCCGAGCTTGCCAGTCGATATTTTGGGCGTTAAAGTCCCCGACAATAAGGACGTCCCTGTTCGAGCAGGTCTTGTTCAGTTCCCTTATGAGATGGTTGTCGCGTTCGGAAATCTGGTTTGAGGGACGACACACAACTGCAATCGCCAACGGCCTGGCGTATTTAATGGAGATAGTTAAAGATAAGAATTCCACTTCCGCTGTTGTTGAATTTTGCTCAGGGACCGTGGTCAGTTTGTAGCTAACATAGACAGCTACGCCTCCTCCTCGGTTTTCCAGTTGGTAACCTCTAAGGGATACCTCATGATCTCCAATAGCTTCAGAAAGCCATGTTTCTGTCGAGGCGATGATGTCTGTCGTGTGCTCGTCGACCATCCACCTTGTTAAACAGGCTCTGCACATTCGAATACAGCACCTTTATTGTCCGTCTTCTCGGAGGAAACCGGCCCTGATTACAAAGGGGGTTTGCCACAGGAACGATCGCTTGATCTGTATTATCGTGCCTTCCTTTATTTTCGATCCCTTTTCCCCCTCTTCTGTCCTTCTTTTCAGTTCTGTCCTGAGCTCCCTCATGTTGCGTCTTTCTGTCAGTTCGTAATCCGGCTGAAAAACACCTCCTTCTGCGGATGACGAAGAGCCATCCTCCCATCTAGGAGATGTTACATCACAAGTGTCTGCCCACACCTACGAAATGGGTCATGAGTTTAACTTCGCAGCCACCAAAATGGCCGCCCACATTGGCAACAAAACAGACCGAGAATTAATGGAAGCCTGGACCTCGGATAGGAACTTAGTCAATCGATTGACTGGTTCCGGCGTACAGAACCCTGCGCAGTCATTTCCAGTCTTGCGTCATCGACCGATGATTGGCTGACACGCCCTATAACTGCCGCTTGTTCTATCGCTGCTACCATCCCTGACAATGGACTCCTGTACGAGTTCGAGGGTTCAGGACAATAAACAAAATGCTCCAGTGCTCGATCACCCTTTTTGTTCACTTAAGTGAGTGAGTTTCCTGTCTCGATAGGCGTAGACGGTTTATGCCGCCGCCCCGCATAGCAACGTTGTCGGGGCTAGCACCCTCTACATCTTGAGCTTCTTGTTGGGTCGAAGTTCGTTACAGTTCCAGACGAAGGTCTGCAGTCCGCCAAAGGCCTGGTTGGCTTTGGAGATCCAATTGGTCACTTCGTCGTCCATCTTGTTGTTGCTGTTGTTTGTTGAAATGGGGCTTCCTAGACAGACGTAACTGTTCACGGTTTTGTTTTAGGTGGCGTTGACAGTGATGCAATGGGCGCTGTATTTAGTGTTGGGTGACGGCTGGTGCGTGACCGCCGTGCCGCCGGATTTGATGGCCAGCCCGAAGTTTGCGCAGCTGGGGATGAAGATGTCCATGATTCTTTGCACAACAGTTTTTGTCGAGACATTTGGTGCACAGTCGTCTGTGAGGAGGACTCCATGCACAGTGATGTTTTAAGTCCGCGTGAGTAGTCGCATTCGTTGGGTCTCTAGAATCTGACCGTCGGCTCCGTAGACGATTCGGATGCCGGGCGTTCTTCACGGTACGTATCCAGCAGCATGTAAAAGCACACGAGACTACGGAGGGTGTGTGTGTGAGAGAAAGAGAGAGAGATTACGCGTCCCTGTTTCGCTCCATATGTCACCGCGAATGCTTCTGAAACTGCCTCATAGTCTGTGGCCAGCGCCATCATCCCGTCGTGGAAGTAAAGCATCACATGTGTGTGTCACTAAGGACAGACGAATTTCTATATGGTCTTCCAGAGTCCACCGCTACTCATAGTGTCAAAGGCTTTCATCAGGTCCACGAAGGTAGAGCAGAAGTCGGTGTGGATTTCCTGGCAATTCTGTTGTAGCTGGAGGACGGCAAAAATCATGTTGGCAGTTCCACCATGTAGTCGGAAGTCGAGCTGAATTTCCAGGAGAAGTCCGCGTTCCAGATGGTCGTGGAGATGATTAAGAAGAATTCAAGCGAAGATCTTTCCAACAGTGTCGAGCAGCGAGAGTTGCCAGTCCCCTTACCTCTTGAGGAGACGGACGATGGTTACGTCGTTGAAATTTTGAGAAACTTGTCCATGATGTCACATCTCTTGGAAAAGCCGTGTGCGTTTATGCATCAATTGAGAGCTGTCGTGCCAGTGATTCCGACCAGGACTGCGTCTGACCCCGGGGATTTCCCGCTTAAGTGCGGTTGTAGGGCTCTGATGGTTTCTGGATGAGAAGACCAGGAGTTCAGGTCATTGTTCGCTTCAACCTGGGAGACTCGGTCGACGGTGGCCTTGGAGACTGGGGATTAATCGTTGAGCACGGTTCTGAAATGTTAGGCTCAGCTTTTCAGAATCTTCCGTTTCCCCATGGGGAGTGTTGTTCCGTCAGAGTTGGGAAGTGGCGCCGTTCCTTCGGCTGTAGGACCGTAGGCCGTCATGACTGATGCAAAGAAATTCTATCAGCTGACCCATAGATTTTCTCGCCCCTGCGTTCTGCCCGAGGATCCTGCATCTTGCGCAACCATTGTTGTTAAAGGAAGCGACATATGAAGAAGGTCAACCTCTTTGCGTCGGCTCCGAAGCCTATCCTTATCTGAGAGCAGATTGTAGATTACTTCATCTTTCACGTCGAACTGGTCGTAATATAAACAGCCTAGGCGATCGCGAACGCCTAGGCGGTGGAGTAGATGACGTCCTGCAGTTGGTACCACTGTGTTTCTACGGTGCCGTTGTCGTTCGGAGTCAGCAGTTTTTTGAGGAGGTTGGCGAGGTCGAAGCGGTGAGGAGACACACTCAACAGGACATTATTTCACTATTCTACCGGTCGTTTACCTTGTGGTTCCCTGTGAGGTTGCATTTCGTTGCAAGCGGTGGTTTATCCAACCGCCGACGTCGCAGATCGCCTTGGTGATCAGCACGTCCCGTCAATCTCGCATCCAAACAAAAACATAGTCCAACAGCTGCCAGCGCCGCGGGCAGGGTTGCACCGGGGTTGTATTCTCAAGTGTCGAAGGAGGGCAGAAAGCGATGATCGGCAGGAGACTATGTTCTGTGCTGGTTTTCCAAAAGAGGAGGCCGTTGTCGCTGCAGACGTCAAGTCCATGGGGACCCGACACTTCCCAGGCAGCTTGATCTGTCCCGACGCGGACGTGAAAGGCAACAAGAACAATCGACTTGCCCGCCTTCTGCACAGTCGTCAGGAGGGCATTCAGGTCGTCGTCTAGTTTGTTGTTCACCCCGTCGGAGCTGGTCAGCGATGGGCGAATGAACTGATGGTGGTAGCGATTTGTCTCCCTGAAGTGGCAGGCCGTTAATGACTTGTGGAAGACAGGGTAGTCGTCCCACGAAGTCATTCCGGATGGCAAAGACGACGCCTGCACTTAGGCGGCCGCCTTAGAAGAATGTGTACCTATTACCAACCGCCTCCAGCTGCTGTCCATGTTCGGGGAGTCGATTCGTCCTGAAAGCGGCACTGGCCGCCTCGTAGCGCCAGTTCTCGAACGACCAGCGGCGTTCTCCTTTGCGGCCGGTTGTTCCGCGAACTGTCTAATAGGGAATGGACATTCCAAACTGCCAAAGTAAGCAGTAGCTTGGTCAGCCTGTGAGGTGGGACGGTGGGGGTGTGGCCGAGGGTTGTTATTCGGTTGATTGTTTTTACTGAGTTGTACATCTGTGGGCGATGGTCAAGGCGCAGGTGGCGTGACCACAACATTTTTTTGGGAAAAGTTTTCTGACCCTTTCCCCCTAACAATGCTGTCCCTAAATAGGGCTTTCTAGACACCTCAGACGTCTACCAAACTCCACTAGGGGTCACTGATTTGTTTAGTGGGGGGGAGGGGGGTAATCTTAGTTGGCCCGGGCCGCCTACGGGAGTGCCCTCTCCGCAGGACTTTTTAAATGTAGGAAGGAAGAAGGGTGGATTGCGAAGGGGGCGGAATTGTCGGGTGTAGAAGCACACAACATCGAATAATCTCACCTGGTTTAGCCCACCGCTCTGGACGGTTGCTGGGGGGTAGCCGATAGGCAGGGTATTGTTTCAGGTAGCCGCAGATGGCATTTGGATGTCCGTTTAGGGCCGCACGGAGTAGCCACCACCGCAGAATGCCCATGCTGCGACCTGCTACACCTATACAGCTTACCCCTGATTAGACACCTCGTACATCGCCGGTAGTGATGTGAAAAGACGTTAACCATCAGCCGTACAGGGAGTTAAAATCCTCCAACGTTCTCTCTGTCAGCGCAAACCGTCCATCCACGCAAGACAAAGTGCCCTCTTCTTACTGATTAGACATCCCACACTTCATAAGGCCAATTACGGTTAAGGATTGAGTCGTGTACATCTGCAAATTTTTGTGAAACACGCGCCCCTTCTTCTACGATCATCTGAGAAGGGTAAGTGAGTTCACAAAATTTGAATATTGACTTCATAACCCAAAGAAGCTTATTCAAGCAACCCGGAGAAACGGGCTCAGGAGATCGGAGTGGGTTCACTTCCAATAGTCCACGACTCTGTTCAAGGTGAAAGAGCATTAACATTGAGAATTGGAGAACCGGATTCGGGTTGCTTTAATGTGCTTCACTGCCAGCTGGTCGTTTTTCTTTTAACTGGCTCGTTTGGCGCGCAGAATTTAATAGCCGCTGAAGAAGTCAGCAGGGGACTGGTTATTTTGGTACCTGGTTGTATATCCGAGTTAACACACGACTCGACCACAGTTTTCACGTGTGTCGACGGGATTGCCCCATAAGCTTGTCGTATACATAACCTTACAGGCCCTGGATACTTTATCGCGTTCGCGCATGTAGTAAAGTACGCGAGGTCGAGATGCCGGTCGCCTGTACTAACGTTTTTATACATTAGAAAACCCCATTAACAGCAGCAACAACAAGGCACGTGTCAAGGCAAGGATGCGTCCATGCGCTTGCGCTTGTGCGCGCAGGAAAGCCGTCGTTGCAGTCATCCTCGGGTCGTTGCAGACATGTTGTTGCGCTCAAGGTCAGGCGAGAGAGAGAGATGACCTTGGCTTGACAGTCAACCAGAACCTCGCTGATTTCTGATTGGTTCGTAACTTGCCCGGCTGACGGGTTGTGCGCGAGTAGGCTGATCAATGCGAGTCGAACGAGAAGAAAGCCTGAGCGACATGTTGATGCAGCGGGAATGTAAAGAAAATATGGGAGGTGAAACCTAAAGTTGTTTAGGGCTTCACAACACGCAGTCCGTCGAAGAACCTGATTTTCCTTTTGCTATAGCCCAAACGGATTTTACGGGGCTCAACTCTGTCTGGCCTCTACCCTCCCAGTACCCCGCCTGTATCATCTCAAACATCGCTGCATGAGCACACCTACCCCTCCATAAAATGGACCAGCACGGACAATGTGCTGTTTCCCTGATCTCTGCGCCGTCAGGCGCAAACACCTGCATCAAAGGCGGAGTCTCTCTTTCTGAGGGCGATGAAGCCATAGACACGATCGTGGTCTGCGCCAGCGAGGAATGTAAATTTGGTGAGAGTTCCACTTGATTGTTGATTTATTATAAAGGCCGATTGAACCGGTGATCATACCCTTTGTGGTCTCAGATGCACAGGAGTTACATATGAATTTGGCTCTGTCCTCAGCTCAAGTGAAATGCACAGAGGATAGGTAGAAAACACAAAAAATGGACAGAGAAAAGAGGGTTAAACAAAGAAGCACTACTGTTCCAACGAGATGCCAACCCCCAGAAGTTAAGCCGTGTAAATGTTTTGCAGATTTTCGTCTGAGGTACATATGACCAATTGCCTATTTATTCCTAAATACCAAATTGTTGGGACAGTACTCTACAGTTCACTTAAAAGTGACCTTCAATTTGACGAGTTAGAACATCACAATCTACTGTCCAAAAGTTCTTGACCGACTAATTTATCGGTAGCATAAAAATCGACTATGTGTTAAATAGCACTACACTCAGTTGTAGTGCTGTTTACTTGCCCGAAAACACTACTTGGAGTTCTACTCAATCCTAATCCCACGCGCGAACCAGTAGTAAAAGAGGTTATGCTATTGAAATCCCGAGTTGTATCCACCAGCTGGCATGGGTGCATTTTAGTGCTCTTAAGAAAGGGCAATACATCCGTAATTTCCGTACGCAGTAGAATCACCTTGATTGTGTAAATTCCCAGATTTTCCTGCGTTGTACAAAAACAACTTGGCGATGAAGATCACAAATTAGGGACTGATCAGGGTGACTCACTCTTCAACTAACAGTCCATCACTATGTTCATCCTCCTCCACCATTCTCACCTATGCTCTCGACTCAGTTAAAAGTCTGCGCGGTTCTCCGTTGGCAGCGGCTCCCGTCGGCATATACATTCTCTCAACTTATCATTCACTGTTTATTTGTGAAATTAACAGCTACAGTCATTAGAATTAGTCCATCCTTGGGAAGATCTTCTGAGGTAAACTAACGGATTTTTAACTAGGCCGACTCTAGCCAGGTAGTATCCCTACTGGACTTATGCACCAGAATAAGTATTAGGTCAGTGAAGGGCAATTATCTCAATAGGGCCGGTCCACGTTGTCAAAATCACAATAATTGTCAGCTGCTGGAGGGATGGCTTCATGACAGGAAAGCAGTCGCAAGCGCCTGTTTCACGTTTACCGTCCAGGTCCGTGAGCTTTCGACCCTGCCGTCAAAAGGCTATGTCTACCGGATCTGGTATTACTCCCCCTCCTTCTCCTCCTACTCCTCCCCTCCTCCTCTCCCCATTCTTCTCCGGCCTCTTCTTCTACTCCCCATTCTTGTGGATTCAAAAAATGACGAAACGTTCCACCTTATTTGATAGTTTGTCGTACCCTGAGCGACATATATAAACAAATTGCCTGCTTAAGAGTCTTACAATAAAAACGATTCGCGCATCATCGGTCTCGTCCATTAATTCTCCATGATTTGATCACGCAGATGTCTAGAAAACTCAGCATGCGATTCACCACAGTCACCAAAACAGTTATTCATTCCGCTTCCCAAATCCCCTTCCTTTAGCGCGCCGGTCACCGGCGGAGATGTCTCTCTTCAGGGTGACGGCCTTCAGGACATCCGAAAACTCATGCACATAAGGACCCTAACAAAGGTCTGCCTTGGAAGCAACTAGCACACTTTGACTGCCCACTGTGGTGCGGTTGATAACACGTGGTGATAGCTTAGATGCGTGTTACATTACAACAGGGAAAACTCCGGCGAGATTGGCATAAGCGTCCCTCCTCGCTTCTCTTCTGTTCCGGTGACAGAATCGGGCCAAGTAAACCAAAATTGAGATTGAATGTGATAGATGGCCAGATATACCCCTCCCCCCCACGTGAAGCACCTGTGCTGATTTTGCTATTTCTATGAGTAAAAAACGCGCTCCGTAATCACAGATTGGGAGATGGGGTAGAAAGGGCAGCGTTTAGCGAGACAGAGTGCATAGGCTGTTGGAGATGAGCAGTTAGCTCCGGATGGTTAGTGTACCGCCGGATACGCATTTCATCGTCCGTTTAGTGGACGCTGCGAAGTCACGCTGACCTAACCAATCGTAAAACGGCCCCCACGGACACGCGCGGACTCACTCAAAGAGGCAAAGCCTGTGTGGCTTTTTCAGCGACTGAGCTTCAAATATGTAAATACTCGCAGCCATGACTTCTCCCCACAAATTACTTATATTTTACACAGGCAAACTTCAGCCACTGAATAGAATGTCGTCCGTTTTGTACGTTATAGGCTTACCACACATGTGGAATCGTTCTCGTGGCCAGTACTGTGTGTGTGTGTATCTGGGGCGATTGGCTCAATGGCTCCTTCTTAATGTAGACTCTGTGGCGCTGGCACGCACGGGAGATCCGAGCCGCCTCCTGGTTTCTGTAAAAACCTGGTCCATTGCACGGCGACCAGTTTGTGTTTGGAACGCATCTATTGGCCGTTTAGCTTAGTCAGACACTGGGTCCGAGCCAGTCTCCGGTCGTTTCGAGTCTGTCAGAGTGAGGTGGGCGAAGAAGGTGATGATGGTGTGTGGCAGGGGTCGCCCAAGTCCGATTTCACCACCGTCACCGTCCTGCGTCCACCACGCTGCAGAGCACACACAGTATGCATCGTCGCACGCGACAGTCGAACTGTGACACACGTGTGTTGACCAGCTCGTATTTTTTTCTGTTCATTTCGGGTCTTCGGCCTCCTTCCACTCCATAGGGTGCGTCTGCGGCAACGTTCACCCCAAACCAGACGATAGATGTGACGTGTTACCGTTATGTTTGCGGCAGCAAAGTACTCGATCTAGAGTACCACGCGCAGTTGCACGGCGGCTAGTAATGTGTGCAGAACGAGATTACCAGCAAAGACGGGAGTGGC